CTTTGGCTGTCTTTAAAAAAAACTCATACCATCTTGAATTTAATGCAGTGGTGGATTTATATTTTTAATTCCTGTAATTTTAACAGTAAAGTAAAAAACTCCTGTATTCCTTAATGTTGGTCTCTAGCCATGCTTAACTTCTAGAAGAGTGTTTCCTGCTTATGTTCTTTCATTTTCTTTTGTTCCCTTTGTGCGTTAGTTGAGAAATAACTGAAACTCAAGTGTAAGTCCTTCCACGGAGGATGGAAAAATCCCACATAGGAAATGGTACCACCAGCAAAGGGTCGGTGGTTGGTGTTGGCCAATGTAAGGAAATCTACTTCCTTTTGAAAAAAGGGTGAACTATCTACGGGAAGTGTGGTGGGGAAACTGGAGGAGGAGAAGCTGAGTTATCTTTTTTTGGTGAACTTTAGCCCAATTCACCAAGGAAAGTACTAGAAAAATAAATGAAATTACAAGAGGTTAGAAAGCTAACCTTTCATTTTAGATAAGAAAGACCAGGAAGGTGTGTTTGATTTGAAAACTTCTACGGGTATGTTACTGAATGGGAGGAGAGTCCATATCAATGATGAAGGAAAGAAGGCATGGTGGTCCAGAAATCTTATTAGTCTACCCTGTCACTTACCGTGGTGAACAAGGCATGAAAAATGATGCCCTGTAATGCGAGAAGATATTAGCACTTTCATTATCCTCACTGATTTCACCCTTTTAAGATTTCTATTTTCTGTGTTATTTTATGGTCTGTCAGAAGGATCTGCTTGGAGTTTACTGCCCTTGAGAGGAGAAGGGAGATGGTTGGATTGAGATGGAAAGAACTGGAGGTATAGAGTAGCTCAGAACCTACAGGTCTTCCTTCTGTTCTGATAAAGGAAATATGGTAGCCACTAGGAAGATTCTGGAGAGGCAGAGAAGACGTCGACCTCTGCTAGACAACAACCGTGTGACAGGTGCTGGATGACTTGTTGTTTATTCACTGCAAATGCAGTTTACACTCATTCTTTTATTCAATTGCTGTTCATTAAATAATTATCTCCTTTAATCTCCACAAATAACTGGAGAAGGTTTTATAACCAGGAAGCTAAGATGGATGGGTAAGTAATTCACACAACTTTGAATGATTTCTACTGCAGCAATGCACAGACTTTCAAGTATGGGTTTATGGTCGGCTCCTCTCAAAGGAGATACTGCTTCAGTAGGTTCAAGTTGGCTTCTTGGAGCAGGTGATTGTTCCAGATTTTGCCTACAGAATCGTGGACCTACTTTGTTCTTGTCTTCTTTTATTATTTATTGCATCTATGGAAATCATAATTTTAGGCCGGAGCTACTTCTCAGTCACTTAGGCTGATACCAAAGATTTAGTTTAACTTTGCCGTCTGCTCAATCTTTCGTGTGGGCTGAAAAGCAAGTAAGCCAACAACAGCAAACACTGAAACTATTGTAATGACTGAATTCCAGGGAGTTAATTGGATCTTAATTAGTGTATTTCACTGAAATTATATTGAATGGACATAAAATGACTCAATCTGCTGTTTGCTGTTCCCATTCTCAATGACAGAAAAGAGCCTTTTGTTGTAGACTCCCTTCGTCTTGTCTGAGTTCTCGGAGCAGATGATCAGTGGCTCAATAGCAGGAGTTGCGTTTTCTCCTTCTTTCTGTGTCTCCTCATGTTCCCAGCAGAGCACCTGTGTGTGCTGGATGAACGCATTTGTTAAGTCTGTTTCTTATAAGTGTGAATTTTAAATCTATGGGTCAGGGCGTTCCACTTGTGGCAAGTGGTTTACTGATGTTTTTCAATATGTTATTCACTGTCAACAGAGCTTCTAGGAAATAAATGATGCTCTTTGTTCTATTTAGAAAAGCTGTGTAGTTTCAGATTCATCAAAATAAAAATTCCATTCCTGCCTTTTGATGAAATGTGTGAAAAGTTGGAGGAAAGGGTAAGAGGGTGAGTAAATTAGGAAAAATTTTACTCTCCATTGCTCATATATTTAATTCCTTTAACATAATTTACTGGATTGTTCTGAGGACAAGTTGAGGTAATCATTGAGAGGTCTTCAGAAAATCTAGACTAGAGATGTAAAAGATATTTGCAAAAGGCAGAAGTTTAAAGCAAATGAAGGTCTTTTAAAACACAGACTTTCAGACATTCTGACAGTGTACATGCTGCCTAATGGTGTTTAAAGATTTAGCCTTGCTAAGGTACCTTTGGTAAAGGGAATAAGAGTATGTTTTTTAATATCCTATGGTGAGAATTTAAAATAAGTTTCCTGGCTGGCAAGGCCTTGCAGTCTGCCGCTAATATCCCTCCAGAGGGTGGGTGTGCTTCCTGAGTACCCTTTTTCCTACTCTTTTACAAAGGAAAAGCAGAACTGTCTTGAAAAAATTGTGGTAAATACATATGAAACATAACATTTGCCATTTTTAACCATTTTTACTATTAAAATTCACTCAACATAATGTTCTCCAGTTTTAACCATTTTGCTGAAAATGAGGTAATTTCATTCTTTTTTGAAGCTGAATAATATTCCATTATATATATGTGTGTACTTAATATATACTAAATCAATCCTCTGTATATAAAGATAATTGAAAATGAATCTTGATGTGAATGGAATGGGAGAGGGAGCGGGAGATGGGAGGGGTGCGGGTGGGAGGAAAAAAGCCATTGTAATCCATAAACTGTACTTTGGAAAATTATATTTACTAAATAAAAGTTTTTAAAAAAAGAAATGTTTTTAACAAATGAGATGACCCTACACGTAATTCTTATGCAACTTCACTATTCCCTTGCCCAGACATCACAGATGTCTTTCTATGTGGGTCTGAAAGGGCCTACCTCTTTTATTCACAATCACACATGTTTGTTGAGTATCTGCAATGTCCTGGGAGCTATTTCAGTGGCAACAATCCTATGGAGTAAGAGCTGTAATGATCAGCTTTTTACAGATGAGAAACTGAGACCCGGAGAGGCTTGTCCATCACTGGCGGGGCCGGATCTGAACCCCGATGCTCTGATTTGTCACTCCAATTCTATCCTTTCTTGATGGCTGTACAGTGATCCTTTGTATGAATGCACCTTATCTTATTTAGGCAGTCCCCTGCACCTAAACCCTTTTTCTTCATTTATGTTTGCTGTCAGCGACAGGGCAACAATGAACACATTGGCAAATATGTTGGCACAGGTGTGTGAATACTGGAAGGTAAATTCCTGGGAAATGGAACCATGCATTTGGGTAATTGATAGGCATTACTTAATTTTCTCTTACGCATATTTTATCAGTATGAACTCCCATGAGCGATGTAGGTGAAGAAGCTAACTTCCTTACATCTTCTTCCACAAAGGGACTTACTAAACATAGTATTGCCAGTGTGATAGGTTGAAAAAATGGCGCGGGGGTGGAACGAGGGCAGGACCTGTGGTGGGACCCAGAGCAGAGAGCAGGTCCATCGCTTCTGTCTCAGTCCCGGCTCCCACACCGCCATCTTTCCAGGCCTCTTGCTTACTTTGTGCCTTCTCTGGACTCATGCTTTTCCTTCCCCAGCCATGCCGGAAGGCGTGGACTTTTACTGATAGATGTGTGGACAAGGAGTTCAACCAGGCAACTCCCCTGATCAGGTGGCCTGTGTGATGCTGGGCCGGTAGCAACCTCACAGCCCTCAGACAACACGAGGCGCACGCTGCGCCACCTCCTCCTGTTCCAGTAGGTGTCTCCCACACCCAGCACTGAGAACCCTGCGATGCTGTTTCCCTTCCTCCGGTGGCTGCCTCTTAGGGCAGCTTCTCCTGGTGGACCACAGACTTGCAACACCCTGCGATGCTGTTTCCCTTCCTCCGGTGGCTGCCTCTTAGGGCAGCTTCTCCTGGTGGACCACAGACTTGCAACACCCTGCGATGCTGTTTCCCTTCCTCCGGTGGCCGCCTATTAGGGCAGCTTCTCCTGGTGGACCACAGACTTGCAACAGCTGCTCCAGGCAAACTGCTCTAGAGGAGTCTGTGTTATGGTAGAGGTGAAATTTGCAGAGAATCAAGCCCATGGCCACACCAAAGGGTATTCTAAGGCGGGGGTGACCTCTGACAGCTCTGTTCCTAAATCGTTGAAACTTCTGCCAGGAAAAGTTCTTCATGGAGAACTGGTTGTGAGGTGGGCTACCTGGAGGTAGTGGGTCAGAAAGCTGTCCTGTTGGGAAGAGAGTGTGCTGCCCGCACAAGGGTTTCGGTTGGCTTAGCAGTCAACAGTTTTTATTGTACATCAAGGAAAGGGCATTCTGGCTTAGGGAAAAAATTATACAGAGGCTATACTTCATAATTTTTGTCGTTTAAAGTTGTTTTTCATTTTAAACAAAGAAATGATGGTTCCTCCTCTGCACTGTCCTTAGTCCTCTTTATCATGTAAGGAAAAAATCCATCGCTCTCATTTGCAGAAATCTGTGTTCGCGCTGCTGTGAAGACTTGGTAGGGAAAGGTCCTCCCTTCTGCCTCTCTGCAAACCTGAGGGGCTGCCGTGGCGACAGTGGGGCTGATGATGCACACCGGGCCAGCCTGCTGTGGTTACAGACATGCGGGTGAAATCCATCTGGCTTCAGTACTTAACTGGCAAATCTGATGCAACCTTTGGCAAATCTCTAAATGGCTTTTAGGCCTCCTCAAGAGGAGCCATATCCTTCCTTTCACAAATATTCATAAACCAAAATATTTTGTTTTCCTCTAATCCCACCTTGAAAACCAGAACCCCCTCACAACGATTCCAAACTATAAATAAATAAATAAATAAATAAATCCATTTCCTAGGCGTGTTTGTTCCTCAGTAGTCTCAGGGTTAACGTTCGCTTCCTCTGGGCTGAAGTGGAGGATGTCGGGAAAGACGAAGTATCTTTGCTTTTCATATTAGACATTGCCTGGGTGTGCTCAGCTCTCATCCCAAAGAGCTGGACTTCATTTGTGATGATTGGAAAAAGCCCTGCTGCTACTTGCCTCAGCTCTGAGCAAACAGGTGGGAACCGAAAAGATGTTTGCTTTCAGCAGTCGAGGGCTGGTACATGGTGAGCGGCTGTGGTGCTTGGCGCCCTCTTCGCGCGTTCACTTCCACTCTCCTGAACTCTTGGTTCCCACAGAAGCAGCCATCCCAGAAGCCAGCCTCCTGGGAGCTTCCTTTTGTTTCTCCAGGATTAACCAGTTCTGCCCTGACACCAGTGGCAGGCAGCCACAGGAGGAGAGGTGCTTCCTGGCTTCTGGCGCTTTCCCGGGGGGCGTTTTTCTCCCCCAGTTCCTCAGTACTGGTGAAGCCGCCCTCTCACAACCTCTTCCTCTTTTTCTGATGAGATAACTCGTTCTGGTTGCCACCTAGCAGCTTCCCGTCATGGTAAGCGGTCAAGAGTGTTTTTCCAGGAGTTGATCTCGGGGTTTCTGGAGACCTACTTTGTTTTCTATGCAATTACTCGAGCCCTCGGTTTAGCCTTGCTTTCCTCACTGATATGGCCGTGGAATGGATCCCTGTTTGAACTTCCTGCGTGGCTGGGGAACCTCCCTTTTAGGGGAACAGGCTAGGTGCAGTTTGAGGTGAGTTGGTGGGTTAGTGAGATCAATGGTGGGTTAGCAGCCAATGGTTAGTGAGATCGAATGGAAAGTTAGCTCTGTGCTGGTTGAGACCTGCTGTTTCTTTTTTCCAGATTCCTGTTTTGTTTGCATCAGGGTGGTTGAGGTTTAGAAAATATTCTTTAATGTTATCCTCTTACTAAAAAATAATTTTGGGAGAAATTAGTTGGGGATAGGGGATACATGACATTTTCTTTTATTTGAAATGCATATTTTTATTCTATTAAATGACTGATGTGAGTAGCCCAGATACCAATTTATTTTGTTTTGTGGGTCTTTGTCTCTTCCTTTGGTTGTAGTTAGTTGAATTTTTTTTTCCCCAAAGAATTGGTATTTAGCCCACCTATTTGAGATTTTGTTTTTTCTCTGATCAATTTATGTTTTGGATGTGAACAGTTTGCACTGAGTGGTCCCCCTGGGGGTTGAGGTTGTGTTTTCAGGGCTAAGATTTGTCTGCAAAGAGAAATAGATCCTTCTAGCTGTGTGGCTGGTAGACTTGAGAATATCCTTAGTCCCAGGTTAACAATTAGCTGTTTTGAAGAAAATGGAAACTGGTGAGAACATTAATTGGGGGCTGAAGGCTTATTAGAAAGAAGAGGTGGAAATACAGGCGTTCGTATGGGATTACTAACACCTGGGCCCACACACAAAAAACACAAAAAACCTTTTGCTCAGGTGTTGTGCTTTGCTGGCCTTTACTGCAAAATGTGAACTCAGTGATTTCTTTTAACCGGTATTTCTCTATCTTGTGCTATGATATCGTCTCGTGTTGTATGGATCTTTAAAACTGAGGGATCAAGTGACTTTTTGTGTGTTTGCCTGTAGGATGTTTTTGTGCAAGGAGAGCTTTATTTTGTTCTTACACAGAAAATTACACATTTATTTAGTAGGAAAAGACTTAGCCATTGAAAAATAAACTGAAAATCGTAGCTCTCTTTGAAATAAAACTTCTTTATGTATTCCAGATGCTTGTCAGGCAGGGCAAGTGTGAGAATTAGAAGCCAGTATCGTGTTTTTAAGATTTCTAATGAAAAGACATGAAAGAAATTGGTAACCTCTTATTAACATGAAATATTTTAAATAGTAACATTTAGTTCTAACTAGATATTAAGCATACATATTAAATATTTTAATTTTTAACCAATTCAATATAGTTTGTAGATATAGCATAAAATATTGACCATCATATTTGGGAAACACGTTCCTTCCTTACTGAGAGGGTGTTTGTTTCCTCTCTGATTTTATTTTTTAAAGATTTATTTATTTATATGAAAGAGTTAAAGAGATTTTTTTAAAAGATTTATTTATTTGAAAGTCAGGGTTACATAGAAGGAGAGAGAAATAGAGAGAGAGAGAGAGAGAGAGAGAGAGGTCGGTTTTCGATCCACTAGTTCCCTCTACAATTGGCTGCAATGGCCGGACCTTGCCGATCCGGAGCCAGGAGCTTCTTCTGGGTCTCCCACGTGGGTGCAGGAGCCCAAGGACTTGGGCCATCTTCTACTGCTTTCACAGGCCATACCACAGAGCTGGATCGGAAGTGGAGCAGCCGGGACTTGAACTGCTGCCCATATGGGATGCTGGCATTGCAGGAAGTGGCTTTGCCTGCTATGCCACAGCACCGGCCCCTCCTTTGTCATTTTATTTACTCAGCTACTGTTTGTTGAGCACCTGCTCTGTTCCGTGCATTGTGCTGTGTGCCTCAGTGAAGAGGGCGTGGTGGGAAGGCCGCAGTGTTTCTCCCTTCACTGCTATTGTTATCCTCACAGTTAATGGCATCTCTATGCTCGTAGTGTCCCAAGGCAAGAACCTAAAATCAACCTTGTTCCATAACCCATTCTACGAAACATTCATAAACTCTGCCAGTTCTACTGTGGAAACATTTCTAGAATCCAGTTCTGCTTGCCTGTTTTCACTAGGTCCCATACCCAGTCTGATTTCTTCCTATGCCAGCTTATGCTGTGAGAGTAACCTACCTAAAAACTTTGACAGCATGGAATGGAATGGAGACACAAGGGAGCAAGGGCAATGACAATGGACAAGGGGGGCTGGATTCTAATTGTACCATTGTACTCTTGCCTCCCCATTATCTACAGGATCAATCACACCATCTTGACAGCAGTAATGCTATGTGTCTCCTCATCTGTAAATGGAGGTAGTGACAATTCTTCCCTGTAGAGGTTTGATGAGGATTAAATAAGATAATACACATGAAATATTCAGCACAAGGCTAAGTGCCTGGCGAATGATGTAATGATGGGTTCGGTGATGAAGAAGATGATGTCTTTTGGAATCCAACTCTTGTCTACCTCCCTTGCAAATTCTGTGTTACACAAGTCTTCCCATGCCTCTCTGATCTGGTTGCTTTGACAGTCACTGCTCCCCCAGCCTCCCCTTCTGGTCTTTTCCACATGCTGTTCCTCTTGCCTGTGTGTACCTTGTTTAATTTATCAAGCCCTTCTTTTCCTTTGAAAAGTTCTCAGTTTGGAATCTGCCATCTGTCAGGCCTTAAGGCAGGCTTGGTGACTCCCTTCCCTCTGTCGTATTTCTCCATCCCTCCTCCTGATAAATGTTTGATGATTGAACATCAGTTGGGAGAAGAGATGGCTCCAAAATTTGATGGGTTTTTCTACATGTGGAGAGCTAAGAAATAAAGTAAGAAAAAAATAATAGCATTCCATTATTGAGCGCCAACTGTGGTAGGAAACACTGTGCGAATTCCCTTAGAGCATGGCCGGTTGTGTTTTCCCCAATGACCCTGCAGGGTTCTTGATTGTTGCTGTTTACTGATGAGGAAACTGGAGCTCAGCAGGAAGAACTTGCTGGCGGTGATGAAGGTTAACAGGACCAAATCCTGGGGCTTTGGATTAGCATAGCCGGAGAACTAGGCAAGTGCGAAGGGAAAGGAACATGACTGAAGCAGGAAAGAAAGGATGGGGTGAGGCGAAGGAGCGGAAATGCGCAAAAGAGGCAGCGAGGGCCGGCTGACAGGAAGAAAAGGCGAGCACGAGATCAAGGTGGAGAGTGAGCGGGGAATAAACACCGGGAGGCAGGGAAGCTTTATCGTGAGCGGCTGGGGAATGACCGCACGCCTGACAGTCCACAGGCATCCGAGTGGACGTGGCAGCTCCCAACAAGACCAGTCTAATAGATATTGCACAGAAAACGTAACAACTTACTGTGAGGCACTGTAAATAGATACAGTTGCTGAGTAATTGATAAATCTGGCTGTACGAACCATCCCACTCAGACATGAGCACCCACATGCTTCCACACACAGATTGACTTAAATTTTTCTCACTTCTGCTTTTGTGTAATGCCTGCTGTCTCCAAGTACAGTGGCTGCAGCCAGCTGTCACTGATACCAAATGCGATTAAAGCATTCCCCATGCCTCCCACCTTCACGTTCATGCTCCAAGCTCACACATGCAGGACAGGGCTCGGACTTTGTCCTTACCTCTTCCCAAGGCTGAGCTTGCCCTGCGTCACGGAGATGTTCCTATTGTGTGGCCCTAGTGCTGTTTCAGTTTCCCACTGCCAGCTGTCGTCAGAGGGCTACCACCTCAGGTGACATTGTGGGTCGCAGTGGGTATGACTCCGCGGTCAGCACCTTCAAGTGTGAAAGACTTGCGAAGGCTCTGCTCTTCAGCTTCAGAGCCAGAGGGAGGAAAGGGACAGCAAGAGGCGAGAAGTGACTGGCTCCTTCATTCTATCATCCTAGCTTCCCACCCCTAGGCCTTCAACTGAGTAAGCAGGTGGACTTTTTAAGGTTCAAGCTTTACTTAAGTCCACACTGGGGCTGCCATCACAGGCTGCCCGTCTCTCCATTCATGGTCGGATTATTCCTCCTAGAGAAGGTGAGTTGGGCTGAGGAGAAAGTGCCTGAGTGAGAAATAGGAAAAGTTAGGGGAACAGGAAGGGAAGCTGGGAGACTGAAAGAGGATTAAGTAGGAGGGGGAAAGGCAGATTGTGGAGGAGGGGAGGAAGACAGACACTCTAATGGAGTGAAGTGAGCATACAGGCATACTACACTGCACAGCAGCTTGGAGGAAGGCACCATCACCTGCATCATTTGGAGGTGGAGTCGTAGGAAGGGGAAGTGACTTGATTAAAGTAATGCTAGATAGAAAGGGAGCTGAGATTTGAATCTATTTCCCTAACAGTCTTTCCTTTATAGTAGTTTGTCTCCAAAGGGGAAGGAAAAGCAGAGTTGGAAGAAAAACAAGGCATATAGGACAAGTTTGAGCATGGAGATTAGAAGCAGAGGGCTTCTACTCTAACTTCTATTAACTTGATTGATTGGCCTCAGACCCTTAAAGGGACCCTGCAGTTTAACCCTTTGCTAAAGTTGAGCCATCTGCACCCATGCGCATTCATTTTCACTGTAAAGTGAGTTCTTGTGGAATCTCGGGATGGCCTCTTCCCCACTTACCTGGTCACTGAACTTTTCCAACTTGATGTTGTGTTACTTCATTCTCAAGGTGTCTGATGCCAACTCCTTATTTTCCCTGTACAAACTGGCATCTCTTGACTTTGCCATTCCTTTCATTAGAAGAATTATTTTCTGTGAATTATTTTATGAAAAACCTAAACTTGAAAGTTAAAGGAAAAAAACTCATGGCAATATAATTTGCAATATTTAAAAAAAGTACACAATTCATTTTAAAGGAATATATAAGTAAAGCCCCAGCTATTACTTCTGCTACCCTTCTTTCTCTTCCTCCCTCTCCTGCCCTTCTTTCCTAAACACAGAACACACCTACTAGGACT